CTCTATTTTCATTCTTAATATTGGTAATTTGTGATTTCTCTTTTTTTCTTGTGCGTTCTTGCTAGAGTCTTATATTTTATTAATCTTTTCAAAGAACCAACATTTATTTCGCTTAAATTCTTCTATAGTGTATGTGTTTTCTATTTCATTTTGATTTCTGTATTTATCGTTATTACTGTTTCCTGTTACCTCTTTTTGGTGCTGTATTTTCTTCTTTTCTGGTTTTGTTAGGTGGAAATTTGTATAATTTACTTGCAGCCTATTTCCTGATGATGGCTTTTAAAGCTATAATTTCACAGTAAGTCCTAGTTTAGAAGCATGCCACAAAGTTTGTGTTGTGCTTTTATTGTGAATAATAAAATATGTTCAAGAAAATTTCTAATTTGCTCTTGATTTCTTGTTAGACCTAGGGTTTATTTAGTAGTGTGTTTATTTAATTCCCAATTATTTGGGGATTTTTATAAATATTGTTTTAACTGAATTCTAATTTAATTTCATTGTTAGACAAAATGTCAGAGAAAATGCTTCATATGATTTCTTTCTTTTGAACTGTATTGAGAATGATTTTATGGGCCAGCCTATGGTCTATCTTGATGAACTTTCCAATGTACTTCTTAAGAATATGAAGGAATTCAGAGCACGTCACCCCAAAATATGCCACTTTGGCATATTGATTATTTTTAGTTAAAGTCACTTGAGAAACAGTAGATGCAAGAAGGGCACTCTGACACTCCTTTTTATTTCTGAAAGCAGGAGGCAAAACTCCCATGGGAAAGGTATCCTCCTGTACCAGGAGGAAGGAAGACACATTCTTATCACCAGAGACAGAGATGGAGGCCAAGAGAAACCTGGACAAACAAATCTTCTTCAACAAACCCTCACCTTCCTAGTCACTTCTCCACAATTTGCTACCTCTAGCCCAAACCCCTTTGTTTTGTCAATTCTTCACAAATTTTCTTCACAAAGAAACAAATGTTTCTTTATCTAAAAGATATAAAAGCTTTCTGCTCTGATCACTTCTTTGGGTTTTCCTTCTCTTACGAAGTCTCCCATGTTCATACAAAAATTTAATAAAACTTGTATGCTTTTCTTGTGTTAATCTGTCTTATGTCAGTTTGATTCTTAGGCCCAGCCAGAGCCTCTAAGACGGTAGAGGAGAATTTATCCTCCTCTGTGTATTCTGAAGATAGTGTGCTGTTTTAATGTTTAATTGGGTCAAATTGAGAGTATTTAGAAATTCTATATCCTTACTGATATTTTTTACTGATAATTACTTAGTATTTATCAATTACTGAGAGAGAGGATGTTAAAATCTCTATGATTGTGGATCAGCATATTTTCCTTACAGTTCTATAAATTTTACTTCATGAAATTTGATGCTCTGTTACATATCTACATAATTTAGACTGTTAAGAATTCCTTGAAAATGTCTCCTTTTTCCATTATGTAATACTCTTGATTACCTCTTGCAACGATCTTCACCTTGAAACACATTTGGTCAATATCACTGGTTATTCCACTACCTGTCTGCTTACTGTGTGCATGATATATCTTCTTTGTTCCATACTTTACTTTCTATCTGTATCTTTAGAATACATCTTTTGAAGACAGTGTAAATCAGGTCTCCTTTTTTATCCAGTGTGACAATCTCTGCCTTTATTTGGTGCTGTTCAATCTATTCATATTTAATTAAATTCCTGATTCAGGTTTTAAATCTACCTTACTATGTATTTTCCATTTATCCTGATTGCTACTGTTCTTGTTTATCCTTTCTTGTCCTTTGTTTGTTTGTTTGTTACTAATGTATTATTTTAGTGTTCTCTTTCATTTCTTCTGTTTTTTTTTTTTAGGTATACACATTCTATTATTACTATTATTTTTTAGTACTCATTGTAGGGCTGATATGTCTCACTTACCTGTCTGTAATAGTCAATACAGCGCCACTATACATTCCATGCTGTTCCTTCCACCTTCTCCCTTCTGAAAACAACAGTGAGATTTCTAGTCTCTCCTTCATCCTGCTTCCCACTTCCTATTCCTATGTCGTATTTCACAAATGTAATAACCATTGGTCAACTTTTGTCATAAATAGTACTTCTGTTATTTCACATTAGAGACTTTTTATGCTGTTTATATTTATACTTACACAGTCCATTGTGTTTTAAATGACATGAAAAAAGAAAGCAATATATTTTGTATTGCTAACTTGTTAAGCATTTCTGATGCTTTTTATTCCACTTAATTAATACAAGTTTCCAGTGGGAATCATTTCCTATCAGCCTGATCATTTAATATTTCTTTTTTTAAAAAATTTTTTGTTTATTGCAGTAACATTAGTTTATAACATTGTATAAATTTCATTATACTTCTATTTCTGCGTGGATTACATCATGTTCTCATGTTCACCACCCAAATACTAATT